GTTTTGCATCTAATTGGATTGGAAAATCAATTAGCATATCACTTTAAGTTTGTACATCGCACCGTGCATCGCACGGGTGAAATACTAGTAATCCATTAAAAAAGCATGGTCATACATGCAAATTCTGGTGTCCTGAAATTGCTCGTGACAATAATAATTGTCAATTGTCACACACTCCCTTAACAGTATTTGCAAAAAGTTCTTTGTTTGCACACAAGTCTTCCAAAATTTCCAACGTTCATGTGAATTGGTTCTTAAAGGTTTGCCCTACTGCCCCATATTAGCATTGATGAGGCTATATATAGTAATGGAAGAAGCTCCTTTCGACACTTAATTTCAATTATTAGTAGCTCGGGACGAGATTTTACACTTCTTAAATTGTGTTCTATACTTGTTTGTGTCGGATGATACAAGATTTTCTTTGTAGAGCCCTCATAAATCACCATCTCAAGCTTATCATAAAGATGAACGCATAAGCAGGAAAAAGGAGAATGTGAACCTTACAGAAAATCAAGAAATAACTTGAAATCCCATTATCCTTGTTTAGAAAAATAGCCATCCTTAACCGCATAATGTTACAATCTGATGGGGGTCAAAGGGCCACGATGAACATAAACACAAGGTGAAAAAGATACATGATGTCAATATAGAAAACACTTGATGGTTCGTCTCGTATTAAAGAGCGATCATAATCCAATGGAAGGACACTGCTTTCTGGCATGCTCGGGAATCAACTTCACTAGGGTCTCTGCTGGCACACCCTTTAACTCTGAATACAAGATCATGCGAATTTTAACTAGATATAATGTTAACAGGAAAAAGAAAATGTCAGGCTAGTTTGCATTCAAGAGCTTCATACCAAGAGGCTTGAAATTGAAAAGTGGAGGAAGAAAACGTCCACTTGGCAGACGGGTATTTGGCTCCCGTAGCTCATCAAAGAAGGTGTGGCTCAAAGCATCCAACTGCATCAAAATAGAGGAGTCAATTTCCAAAGTACATCCACGCAGAGTATAAGAGTAATCATGAATGAGTCCACGAGCTTCTATTAAAAACCAGCACCAACAAATTGAGAAAGGTGAGTGAAAAAGCTTCAATTCTGGCTCCCTCTCAATTTCAAATATGGGTAGCGTTAAACTATACTTTAATCCATTTCCAGTAGTGAAAACAACCTAATGTGAAAAATAATGAAACAACAGAGGCAAGGTAGACAAATTAAACCCTCTCCCCAGCCAACAAAAAACCCAAGAAAAAGAAAGATTTCCAAAAACTTACAGCCGAGCAACGTAAATTAGGAGAGTATTGTAGCAGTCTTGAAACAAGATCACCAGCTTCTGGAGGCATGCGTTTGTGGAAAATCTGATAAAGAACAAAGACATAAATGAATAGTGAAACAAAAAAATAAAATAAAATAAATAAACAAACAAGTTGAGAAAATAAGCATAAACACATATGGTAACAAATACCTTGTGCCACGGATGAGCTTTAATTTGTGGGAATCTATACTCAGTATAGTTAGGATTCATGCATTTTATTTCCTCCCTGGTTGGAGTACCCAAAACCTGAAAGAGAGCCAAATTGGTTATTGGGGCATAGGAAGCATATGAGGGAACAATAGCAACTTCAAAGACAGAGCATTAATTTAATTGAAATTAACAATAACAACTTCCAATACCAGCTTGAACTAATTCAGACTCTATCCATAAATGGCATTAAAGTATAAAATCATATAATCTTGTCAGACTCTTTTAGATGTAAACGTCATTAAGACAAACCAATCCACTGCCTACAGGTCCCACAAAACCCTCACCACCAGTCAGGAAAAACACACACTCAAAGGAAAAAAAAATCCCAAGGAAAATTACAAGTATGGTAAAAATCCAAATAACTAAGAGATAACTGAGAAAGTGCGCACGTGCATTTACAAGTGTCTCTGTGTGTGTGTGTGCATGTGTGTGTGTGAGAGAGAGAGTGAGAGAGAGAACCTTAATAATCTCAACAAGCTGGTCTACTCCACTCTCACCAGGAAATAAAGGCTGAAAAAACAAAGACCAACAGTACCATTTAAGAGAAAACCTTGGTTCCAACAGTGCAAACTTGTGCAAAAAGAAATAAGCCAACTACCTGCCCAAGAAGAAACTCAGCCAGCACACAGCCAGCAGACCAAATGTCGATAGCTGTAGTATACTCAGTTGCTCCAAAAATAAGCTCGGGTGCTCTATAATACCTAGAGCAGATGTAAGAAATGTTGGGCTCCCCTTTAACCTATCAAGAATCATGGAAGAAAGTCATAAAGCATGCCAGTTTCATAAAATTTACCCGATCTTTATGATAGCATTCTACATACCAAAACTTTGGCACTCCCAAAATCACATAATTTAACCTGGTGGGTATGCGGATTTACCTGCAAAAGGTCACAAGTATTAGCTTGAAAAAGTGATTTTCTATGGGACAAGCAAGTTGAAAGGGGCAACCAAAGGCAAAATCTGAAGGCAGATAAACACATTTATGAAACATGTCAATCTTCCAAATCAACACTCAAAATATTGGTGTGTCTGCCGACAAAAGATTTGATTTCTCATAATAGTGGGAGGTCTGCATATAAAAGGGTTGATTTCCTAGGGCATTTCAGAAAGGTAGCTCTAAGTCGAATTAAATGACAAAAAATGATTCATATAGCAGACCCAAGTTTGTTATGAATAAGGCTTAGCCTCTTCTTGTAGAGAGAGTGTGGTGTCCCAAATGGCATGAATGAAGTGTATAGCATGACTCAAGTTAAACTTCTTTCTGAAAGGCTCTTGCTGCTGTAGAATAACTGAATTTCCAATTAAAAATACTCTGATTGGAATATATAAAAACATTCCTGAACTCGCCAACCTAAGACCTCATATTCCAGTTTCACGCAAGAAATAGAAAACACTAATGATAATCATTTTTGACAAGTAGAATTAATTTACATTACGTGTATTTGATGAAAATTCAAACGTAAGAAGAAAGAAAAGAGGTATGAAAGTACACTTGATTTATCTTTTCTACTGGCATAAAGCAACTAAAAGGAAGTTCGACAGCTTGAAAAACTAATTTTTTGATGTCAAACATAACTAATGTTCCTAAATTTCTGCAACTTCTATCCAAGAAGTACAGTACAGAATCAAAGCAAAATAGCATAAAATGTACCAGTAGATTTTGAGGCTTGATGTCCCTGTGACACACTCCAATACCATGGTGGATATAAGACAACGCTCTGAAAATCTGCCAAATAGCAGCATAGTTAATTGAATAGCAGTACAAAACTCGGGTAAATTTCATTTGTTTATACATCCAGAAAACACAGGCAGAACAGTAAAATGTCTGGTGTTCCCAAAATAAGCGATAAATAAACATAAAACCAGTATTCAGCAAACAAACTATCAAAGTTAGTGCACATATTGTATACCAGAACATCATGAATAAAACCCATCAACATTTATGTGTAAAAACTGCAAAGAAAATTCTATGAGATTTGAAGTACAAGAGTCAATCAGATATAAATGTAGAAAGCAAGTTCCATTAAACATAAAAAAATTCAGAATAGGGAGCTTCATTTAAGGCCAATTTAATCAAGACTTAAAAATAGCAGTTTCAAGAGAAGAAAGAGGCTAGATTTGGCATCCACACCGAGTTATCAAGAATCTGAACAGGTACACATACCATGCATTAAACCTAACTGTGCATTAAAGGATAACAAATTACCTGGTAAGAATACAGCTTGACATATATCAGTGGTATCCTCTGGTTCAACTTATTATAGTGCTTGACAACACGATGAAGAGTTTCTGGGACATACTCAAGTACCAGATTAAGATATAGTTCATCCTTTTCAGTTGTAGAGAAGAAGCAGTGCTTCAAGGACACAACATTTGGGTGGTCAAGGAGACGCATGGTTTGTAACTCTCGGTTTTTGTATCTTTTGTCTTGAAGAACCTTCTTGATGGCAACTGTTTCTCCTGTTTCTAAGCATTTCGCCTAAAAAATCAGGGGAATAAAAAACAGCAAACAATGATACTTATAATTGTTGTCAAAGAAAATAAATGGGAGTAATCAAGCAGGACCAAGGAATTCCAAGTAATAAACCCTTCTAATAAAATATTAATATATTAATCCTTCGATGTTTTTAATCACATTATTACTGCAATTTTAAAGTAAAAATGGTATCTTAATAAACAACTCACTCCTAAATTAATCAACCCATATTATGCCACCAAACAATCCCCAAATTATTACAACCCATGGTTATTGCTCAAGAAACTTCCACAGTAAGATTTTACCTGAAACACTACTCCAAATGATCCGTGCCCGACAACGCGTTCAGCCATGTAACTAATGGTCTGGAAACACCAAAAGAAGATAAAACAAGGAAAAAATAAATGCAACTGTAAAACATTAAGGAAGATACAGTAGGTAGGAATTAGAAATAGGAAAGGTCTCAAAGAATACGCGTAAATTACATTAAAATACCTCAACAAACCAACATTTAACCCAAATATTTATGATTACGCCTAAAAGAGAGGATTTTCATGAGTGGAAACCCTTCTTATTGGATTATCAAGATACTTTCCTAAAATTAAACTTTTATCAATGGAGAAAAGTTGTCGCAAATCTGTAAAAGCATATATAATAGTAAACATGATTCGTTTATTAGCATCACCAAAATTATGAAAATATAAGGTGTTGTTTCCTGGATACGAAATGCACATAAACTTGAACCAGAAATGACAACACATGCTCTGGCACATTACCTGCTTTGGCTGGCCATTTCGACCCCCAATTGCAGCAACAATTATGTGGCCAGCTTCAGTCCCATTACCATTCACAACTGTAGCTTCCATTTCCTATTCAACGAAATCAGAACCATCATTAAACGAGGCAAAACCATTCTCCTGGCTGAATAATTCTTATTAGGACAGAACAAGACAGAAAAATACAAGTATCTTTTACATCTTGAATATACATACCTTGTCATCCCGGATTGTCATGTCATTCATCTCCTCGGGCAATCTATCAACCCCCACAGCATGGCTGCTTGATTCCCTTAAGCCAGAAGTAGGCGCTATGCCCACCGAACCCATTTGATAAAGTCTTGTAGCTTGTATTACCTCAATAAGGCATTCACCTGCTAAAACCACACCACATGTAAACTGCTCCGAACTACATCTGCATTTATACTAAAAAAAAATTTCTATCCTGATATGTTACATCCCTTTTTAATTGAAAAGTAACCATTTTAAGTGAAATTATTTTCATTGAAACGCATTGACCAAATATGTAGAGGAGTCAAACAAATCTGATACGTAACGGCAAAATCAAAAACAGAATTACATGAAACTCACAAGGACTTTACTGGCACCTCTTAAACTAGGCAAATAGTCAATACGACAATTACTCTGCCTCGGAAATAAAAGATTAAACAGCTGGAAGTACAACTATATGTATAGTAAACAAAATTATTTTCATTGTAATCAATACAAAATTTACGACTTCAACGTTTTATTCAGAAGTGACATAAAGCAAGCCTGGCAAATCAAATAAGCTGCATGACACAACAATAACAAATGGACTCAAACATTACCTAATCTAAAATAAATTTGGAGATTGACAAGTAACAAAACACGAGAACAAAGCCTCTTTATGGACAGCTAAATCCATAGGAGGCATAGAAATATGATATCCACTTTTGGAAAAGAAATGATAAAGACAGATATTGGCATTCAGTTGTGTATCTTTATCCTTACCGCTACATAAAAGTAACTAGTAACTAGTTTGACTATTGTGTTTCGTATAATATAAACTAAAATAATCAACAAAAAAAATTCAATCAATATCAGATAATGCAATTCAAGATTATGACAATATGAACCATAAAGTCAAAAGACGAAACAAGGACAGTTGGTCATACAGATATTTATCTAGAAAAAATACACAAAATAGAACCAAATGAAGACAGATTTAAGGTTGTAAGAAACCAAACAGAAAAGTAAGGACATCCAGAAAGCCAACACATCAAGGCTACTTTAAGCCATTGCTCAATACAGTGAAAAGAGGTTTGCCTATCAAATTTCGTCAGATAAGATTAACTATCCACAATATAAACATCTTACAGAATTTAAATTCTGTATGCGGTATCAATTTATCTTGAATCTGTTGTGACATCTAAATAAAGTAATCCAATCTCTATATAATAGACTGCATAATATATGAAATAAAAATATACACCAAAACTGAGGGTGTTATCAATTTGGCTGCGACTCAAGTGGTGGGACATGTCTTGCATAGATTTAAAGGATCTTCCACTTACAAGAGCGATGATATAGGGATAGAACATGTTAGAAGCAGGACAGGTGGACCAAAATTAATATGGTCTACTGTGATTGTGAAGGATGTAGTTGTGTTGGATTTTTCAGTAAAACTAGCAATGAACTGAACAAAATAGCAAAGAAATTAGTCACGTAAGCCAACTTCAAGTTAATTGAGAATAATGATTAGTTTGTTGGTGTCGTCATTTTAATTCCTACAATATCATATTGATAAAAGAGTGTTGATGCACCCGATTTTAAAATGGTTGAACCAGCTATCAAGGCCTTCCACCTCCACAGGGAAAGGCATTTTTTAAGCATAAGCCTCAAGACAAATTAAGTCCCTGTTTGACCCACATTATATTTTTCATTATCATTCTTCTACTCATTTTCAACCACACATTCTTCAATAAAATAATATTTTTCATCACATCAATAACTTTTCCTTCTTTTTCAATCGCATATTCCCCATCACATCAATACAAACAATGCATTCTCTTCNCAACTATGCCCCTGTTTGACCCACATTATTTTTTTCATTTTCATTCTTCTGCTCATTTTCAACCACACATTTTTCAATAAAATAATATTTTTCATCACATCAATAACTTTTCCTTCATTTTCAACCACATATTCCCTATCACATCACTTCAAAAAAATGCATTCTCTCATTTTAATGTGCACCAAACAGGCTCTAATAAAACAATTCAAAAGAGTATAAAAAACAAACAACAATGATCATGATAAACCAAATCTTGAAAATTCCCTATAAAACAAATTAAGAATGTTAAAAATATCTCTTGCAAACAAATATAAATAAATCAATAGAATTGCAAATATTTTTTTCTCAAATTAGCAATCACATAAAATAAATAGAACTAGAAATGACCTAGAAGACTCCCTTTTCATCACTATTTATAGGATCTTTAAGAGAAATATCAACATTTTCAATTCCCCTATCATCCTCCTCACAGCTGTCACGTACTCTCATTCTTTATAACCATCCTCCACTTAAAATCTTTCCTTCCCCTGTTGATCGGCACACATCAGATCAATTCGTATTATCTATAGTTTGTGGCCAATGAATAATTTTATGACGAATTTTTTATTTTATTGTAATAGATTTCTGAAAATTTTACAGCATCAACTTAAATATGCTAAATTTTCCGTATTAATAAGATAATAATCATAGTATTACTACAGCTCGGTGAGAGTTCTCGTATGCGTAATCTGTAGTGATAATGTATGGTGTCAATTAAGTATATAAATAATGTCCAAGATTATACAGAAACTTTTTATCCATGTGAGCCACCTTGGCCGTGATACTATTTTCCATGTGGGCCACTTTTAGTTGCAATGAGATACTGCGAGAGCCACACTGACTGCAACACGATTGAGATTAACAACAGCTATCATCGTTTAAGATACACTACGGCCAAGGTGGCTCACACAATTAAACCATGTAGCTCTTAGGCTCCATCATTTATGGGTGATTAGGACAACAGTCAAGAGGACGGAAACAAAGACCAAACAAACAAAAAGCCCAAAAATTATATCACACTCCGACAATAACATGAACCACACTCTGAAAGTCGCATTAGCTTGTGTCCTCTCTACATATAGAGATTTCCAATTTAATATTGTGAATTATATTTGCCGCGATAGTAATTTCCCAACAAACTCTGCTCTGCCTTGCTACCTGACCAGTAAGTAATTCAAAAGCCTATACCACTCATTTTGGGAGAACAAGAATATATGGTCCAAAATTGTCCATACATTTTCCATTTTGGTTAATAAGATTTTCAACTTCGGTGCAATTTCGGTTTCACCTCAGTTCATTATTTGATTGTTTCCTTCACTAGTTTGGTTCAATATTAGGTTTAAATATGTTCTAAATAACACAGAAAAGATTTTTGAATCATCAATTAACAGAATTTGAGATTTAGTATGTTTGGATAAATGTTTCTAGGTGTTTATAAACACCTTGGTCAAGAAATACTTTTGGTTCAACCATTTTTTATTCACACATTTCGAAGGACCCACAAGTACTGTCCACTTCTCAACCACTCATTTAACCTAGATGAACACCTTGCCAGACATACCCTTAATTTAAAGTTCCTGAATCTCAATCTATTTGAATAATTTTCAGGTAACTACATTGGTTCTAATTTGTCCGAATCCTGAACTTATTTTTGGTATCCTGTAAACAATGATGAAAGCTCTCATTTATGTCTCAACATCTTACAATCAATTTCACGATTCAAGTTCAAATAGTTGGCCAAATATATGTCCAAATTTGCATACCGGCCAACTTTTTGGTTGAAAATAAAATGAAACTATTCCATCAAATTTCTGAAACTAGATAATCATTAAAAGTTTAAGCAACACAGTGAGTTTAGTTGGAGAAACTACCCTTAATTTGTAGTGAAATCTTGTAGAATAGGGGTTCAATTTTTTGCAAAGGAGTGAAAAATAATTTTAGGTATGTTATTTCGGGGCCTTATGAGACATCTCATTCCTCTCTCACTATCGTGTGATTTCAGTTGCAAATGAAAAGTCTACACGGCCTCTACATATTGCTTCTAGAGCTTCCTTATATAAAGTGGGTTCATTGTTGTAGTTGGCTTAACATGTCAACTCACACAAGCATTGAATTGTTAAAAAAAACGTTCCTGCAAGAATTTTTTAATAGATGTGGTGTATTTCCTAGAATTATAGTAGTTCATGTATTTATCATTTTTATATTTTATTTTGAATTCTTTACAAAAAAAATCTTGAGATTTATCAAGGTATTATCCATAAAATAATTTTTTTGTGTCCTGACACCCCAGATTTTTAGAGGTGCTCCAGTTCTTACATTGTTTTAGATTTCATAAGATTCTTTTACAATTTTCCATGTATTTTATTTAAAAATCAAATTTCATACAAATATGATTATTCCATAAAATCGCCAAAAATTTGGAAAAATTGCAAGTTATACTAATCGTAATAATTATTTTAGACTAAACTAAGGTGTATTGCAACAGTTACTATATTAACCAAAAATAAAATATTTGTTTGGACCAAATTCGATCTTCATAACTTCAGTTAATTTAGTTAAATCCAGGACAATACTTAGTTGGATATCCAAATTGAAAGGCAAATCTCTTGCATTCCAGATGGAAGGGGCTGTCAGGACAACATACAGGAGCATAATAACATCAATTTTCAGAAAGAGTCTAATTCTATAGACACTAATGACACTACCATGTTTCGTCTCTTTCACAGACACCTTTCTTTTAATTCAGCAATTTTTGCGCCATTATAAAATCAACTTAATTTTCAATCGATGATAAAACGTTGATCCTATGACCCACACACGTCCCAGAAGCAGCTAAGCTAGCAATCACAAATGTTTACATTAGCTTCAATAGCCAAAAAATCATGTTTCTTTATTCCAACACATACAAATTTTCATTCAACCTTGTGATTCCATAAATAAAGCATTTACTTTTATATCCTTAAATGACGGATGTAGCAAAACCCTTTCAACTCTGTTGTGCAACATTTATTTTTCATATAAAATTGGACACATAATCTTTATCTGCTTCGGCATTCCTAATACAGAAACTTATTAATTTGGTAATTATAAATTTATCATACACAGTTCAACAGAACCAATGTACCAAATTAAAAAAGAAAATATCAATTTTATCACTTAACTTCCATTGAATCCCCAATTCAGAAATAACAATATCAACATTACTAAGGATAATGAAAAATTGAAAACAAAAATC